GATCCTTTGGAAATCATTCTAATATGCTAATTCTGAATGGTTATGCTGGTCAGCATTTTATTTTTTTAATAGATTTGTTTTTATTAACATATTTACTTTATTTTTTTATTTACTTTATACTTAATTTACAAGATGTTAATAGAGTGTACAAAGGGTCTACAGTTTGATACATTACTTACATCTTAAGTACAATGAATGAACATTTTCAAATTTTGAACATCAGACGGAAAATAAATAAAAAGCAAGTAAATAAAATCAAATATTAAAAAAAGCTAATATTTTACATAAGCATTTAGAATTTTATTTTTTAGATAAATTTATACTTTTATTCAGCAAATACTGTAAATGCTGTTCTTTTGAACTTCCTATTCATCAAAGAATCCTGCTTTCAACAAAAAATATTAAGCAGCACAACCGTTTTCAACATTGATAATAATCAGTAATGTTTCTTGAGCTGCAAATCAGCACAACTCTTTGAACTGTATTGTAGCGGACAGAACTCAAAGTCAACGTCAAAAGGCTCAGAAGTCAACTCAAACTTCTGAAGCCAAATTAATAAAGTAACAACTATCAACGAGCTAAAAACCTCTCGGACCACCTTAGCAACCATCGCCCTAGCATTGTGATATTGCCTTTTATAGCAAGTGACTCACATTTTCTTGTGAGACAGCATACTTGCTACGACATTGCAATGCACTTGACAAAAACGATTCAATGAAATTTAATATAATTAATGTTGAGAACAACTTTCTGCCTCATAGCTAAGCTCCTTTGCCTGTAATGTAAATATATCCACATTCACACATCCATCAATCAATGTTTTTAGTCTTTTTTTTTTTTTTAGTCATCAGCCTCAGAATTAAAATAAATTCCTCCTTTCTGGAAGATCCGGGAGTATTTGTAATCACCGTCATCATTTCCTCTAAGTGAACATATCCCTTACATTACGATAAGTGGTGTGGTGCAGTTCCTGTTAGCACCATGGTACTTCCTGCGTTATTAGTGGAGATCTTTCCAGATATTCTGCAGGCATCAAAAACCTTCTGCCAGTCAAACCAATATTGTGCAACAACAGCATTTGTGTTGCTTTCAAGGAAATCATTAATAGAGGTTTTCTGACGTCTAGACGGCACGTGCGTCTAAGTGTGTGCGGTTCATCTCCGGTTTCTCTGGAAGAATCGCACTGACACACTCTGCTCTATGATGGGAAAACGTAGCAATTGGGTCATGTGACTGGACGGAAGTGGGATGCAGTCAACGTCAGGGATGCTGGGAAAAGCAGAGACCTCTGATTAGTTCTTAGCAGCTCGTAGACAGGCTGCATCACTGCCCTACTGAGCTGATAGACTTCAACTAAACCATCACACCAGAGATCGATTGCGCTGATACGTTTACAGTAAACCATGGAAGGCACAAAGACAGAGACAGCAATGACACTGAGACGGTCTGTTTCTGTGAACATGTACATGAATCTGATCATTCAAATTCACTGCATGTACTACATTTTATTTTTAGATACTCACCAGAAAGTAATTGCAACCAATGATAAACTTTTAAACACTGAGTAGGGTTTAGTTTATGTGACACGTTTACATCACAGCCATGATTTGTTACTTGTTAATACCAGTCTGAGGCAAGTGGTATTAGCAGGAAAAAATTCATCTTGAACCAGTCTAAGCTGCTGTACTGGTTTTGGTTAGTCTCCCAACCCGGTCAGACTGGTCTGATGGCTGGTTTTATAGGGGTTACACTTACTCTAATGAGAGTTAGTCGACATGTAGCTGCAATGTGACTTATAGCCAACAGATTGTCTAAAGTGGACCATCAAAATTCAAATTCCCCAGTAATGTTTAATCAAAATAACTTCCCCTCCCTCCTCCAGTGACATCTCTTCTCTTCGCTGATGACATGTTTACTGGTGAGGGTGGGACAACCTGTCACTCATTTGAGATCGACCAATAGCAAACCAATCAATTCCCCATGGACAAAATCAAGTCCCGTCCTACATTTTTCTTGTTCGAGAAGCCACATCACTGGGATTTACAACATCACAAGGCAGGAAAAACTATGGAAGCTTGTTTCCGCCACAGAATGAAAAATAAAAAAGGTAACTGCGACTTTTTGTCTCACAAAGAGATATAAAGTCAGAATTGCGAGATATAAAGTCAGAATTGCGAGATATAAAGTCAAAATTGCGAGATATAAAGTCAGAATTGCGAGATATAAAGTCAGAATTGCGAGATTTAAACTCACAATTGCGAGATATAAAGTCAGAATTGCATGATATGAAGTCGCAATTGTGTGAAATAAAGTCAGAATTACGAGATATAAAGTCAGAATTGCGAGATATAAAGTCAGAATTGCGAGATATAAAGTCAGAATTGCGAGATATAAAGTCAGAATTGCGAGATATAAAGTCAGAATTACGAGATATAAAGTCAGAATTGCGAGATATAAAGTCAGAATTGCGAGATATAGTCACAATTGCGTGATATAACGTCAGAATTGCGAGATATAAAGTCAGAATTGCGAGATATAAAGTCAGAATTGCGAGATATAAAGTCAGAATTGCGAGATATAAAGTAAGAATTGCGAGATATAAAGTCAGAATTACGAGATATAAAGTCAGAATTGCGAGATATAAAGTCAGAATTGCGAGATATAAAGTCAGAATTGCGTGATATAACGTCAGAATTGCGTGATATAAAGTCACAATTGCGAGATAGTCACAATTGCGTGATATAAAGTCAGAATTGCGAGATATAAAGTCAGAATTGCGAGATATAAAGTCAGAATTGCGAGATATAAAGTCAGAATTGCGTGATATAACGTCAGAATTGCGAGATATAAAGTCACAATTGCGAGATATAAAGTCACAATTGCGTGATTCTACGTCAGAATTGCGAGATATAAAATCAGAATTGTGAGATATAAAGTCACAATTGCTTTTTTTCTCAGAATTCTGACTTTATATCTCGCAATTCTGACTTTATATCGTGCAATTCTGACTTTATAACATGCAATTGCAACTTTATATCTCGCAATTACGACTTTATTTCTCACAATTCTGACTTTATATCTATTAAGTGTGAGATAAAAAGTCGCAATTACTTCTTTCGGAATTACTTCCATAAAAAAACGATCATGCTGTCTTCAAACAACCCTGATCCACCAGTCAGCATTACGTATATATGGTATTAATGATAATACAATTAACCAGGAAAGTAATAAATATTAAAGCCATCCATGTCACCCTGTGGAGGCTGAGAAAAAAGTGTGAAGATGGAGGAAAGATGTGGATTTGTATTCTGTCTTTGTAGTTTTAACATGCTTTCTTGGCTATGTCGAGTGCCAGGAGTTTGTAGTCGAATAGTTTGCAGATGCTGCTTGTGAGATCCTGTAAAACAAAGTGATCCACAGCTGCGAAAGATAGTTTGATATCATCACCATGTTTGAATGAAGTTTACGATTAAGAACAATGATGCACCTAAGCTGTGTTTGCCAGACATTTCTCATTTAGGAGACTTTTTTTTCTCTTTTTCTGATAGATATCATTCTGCTATGGTGTTTGAAGTCTTGTTGATTGAATAGTTTTGGCTCACGTTTGCACCAAAAAGGTAGTGAAATTAAAGAATGATCTAAACAAAGCAGCAGGAGGTTGCACTGGAATGATTCTGTCAGAACATCACAAATCCTCTGACGTCCTAAAACTCATTTATTTTCCTCTTTAGTGCGCAGAGGACAGGGCTTTGACATCTCAGCACTCCCCAAGAAGCAAGCTTTCCAGGAAAGCAGAAAGCACCTGTTTCAGATGGTTCCTATGTTACTCCTCTCATGGTTTGGCCATGGAATTGGCATGGAAATCAGATAAAAACTCACAGCAGAGAAATGCAGAACCAAAGCCCAACTTCACGACAGCTCACTCACTCTGAAACACATTAACGTTCAATCTCAAGACCCTTGAGGAGTATTGTTAGTATTGCAACTTTCCAGTAAAAGAATATAATGTAACCTCACACCTATATAAAACAAGACACATTTTGGAATCCAGAGCTAGACTTCAGCTTATCCGGTGCATTCAATTTCCCAGAGAGAGGGTTGTGATTGATGGAGAATGAAATGTAAATGATCCTGTGAAGTCATGACTCCATGCAGCCTCGGGAGGAAGGTAGTAACTTTGAAGTTTTGCCACTGTTGGTCTCAAGACTTCAACATACGCAATAAGTGAAGCGTGATACCTCATAATAATAAAAGTGTTACCTTTTTTTAAATGCATGTGCCCCCAAACCCCATACCATAATCAAAATAACTTCCTGATGAATCTCTTCTCTGATGACGTGTTTACTTATTTGAGATCGACCAATAGCAAGCAACAACCACCCAATCAATTCCCCGTGGACAAAATCAAGTCCCGTCCTACATTTTTTTTTTCTTTTTCAAGAAGCCACATCACTGGGATATACATCACATTATGGAAGAAAAGACTATTGCAACATCCATTTCGTGCTGACATCCCTGATCCACCAGTCAGCATTAAGTATAGGCTATGTGGTATTAATGATACATCCTTTATCCAGTATTTGAAAAATGTAACCGATTTTACAGGTTTTGAGACCAATTGTAAAGACCTTTTAGCACCCGCCTATCTTTCGTCACACATTTTACCCCAACCTGCAGATACCCACACTTGCCCTGGGGAATTGGTGTACTGCCCCCTCTACTGGTTAAAGGAAGATACTTCACTGAGACCATTATAAAAATATGTGTTTTTCATATTTACTAATTGAATACTTTTTTAAATTGCAAATCATATAATTTGCAATAGTTTAAGTGAACGTTAATTAGGTTATTTGATTGTAAAAATATGAAGATTAATAATATAAGTGTTCATGTTTTTACATGTTACTGTTTATTTTGAAAATTTTCACTCTCAGAACTCTCAGACTTTTGGATTTGTGCATCTGATGTCGTGGTAACATCCAAAAACAAACACAAAGATATCTATATAAAAAAAACATTCAGTTTATTCCCATAAATACACAATTTACATGTTCGGCACTCGATAACAAGGGACAAATAAGCAAAACTGAGCTCTGGGATGGTCTATTTTTATGTACACAAAGCAGTTGCATAATACAGTTGAAGGCTTTGTCCAATAGGTATTGGATAATAAAAACATTTGCTAGTAGGTGGAGTAATCATCCATCAGTAATCTGAAAGAAACACTTAAGAACATTCACCGCAACTTTTGTTTTAACCTCATCCTAACACCATGTGTGCCCTCCACATCTGGACATTATAACATTAGGAAATGGTGCATGTCCTGTTCATGTCTTCTATTGTGTTTTCTTGTTGTTCTCTCTGGCAACTTTTCTCTTTAACTGCAGAATCTTCAATTCTGTCATGGTTGAGAAGGTCCTCCATACCCACACAGCCTAAAACAAAGAGACTGAGTTTAAATCAAAATCTTAAACATACTTTGTAAACATAATTAGATGAGATGCATATTGTAGTATTATGTATGAAGAAGTATATTCTTAAAGGTAAATATTACCACAATAATAACTGTGTTGAGCAAGAGCGGGACAGAGTATACTAGTGATATGAACATTCCTTTTGAATCAAAGTATTGGAACTTTGAAAAAGACCTAAAAACAAAAATGGAGACATATTCAGTATATAATAATAAAATACATAACAGTCAGTTGGTTGTGGTGGGTCGGGTGGATAATTACCTACCTCCAATTCATCGCTGCCAACTCATTCAGATATTCTGCACTGTAAACCATTGTAACTGCAAAATATTAATGTTATATGTTGATCACAACACAATCTAAATATTCACAAAACACATCTTGTGCGTAATTTTCGGAAATGTAATTTTGTGTTTCACTATAATTTTATACATTTACCCTTAATTTAATTATTGCAGAAACTCACCCATCAAGAGAAAATGACAGATCTGAAGGCGGTAGTATTTGCAGGACAGGACGGTGAAAGCAAAACAGAAGACATGGAAGGCCAGCAGACAAATCAGCCAGGATTCAGTCCAGTCAACCTGGAAACAAGTTTACATGATGATTATTATTCCCGTAATAAATCGTTTTCGTTATTTAATTCCAACCACGTGACCTCGGATGTACTAAAAAAATAGCGACAAAACAAAACCTTTGGATTATGTTTATGTCTAAGACAATTAAATGTTGCTGTAAACTTACAGACTGTAGAAAGCTCCATAATGATGTGACGCGAATATTACTGAATCCATCGATTGGAATGGCGCTGATATTTTTAGCTTTGGACTCGGTCATTTTGTTTGACTACACGCAACTAAACCACACACAACATGAACACTTCCGCATTCGTCACTTTCTTTCTCTCGCGGCACAACCTGAAGCTCACCAATGGATGGCGCTATTTCGCTTCTTAAACATGTAGTTGATGCTAATAGTAGTTTATTCACAAAAAGTAACATTAAATATTTAATATTTATTTTCAAATACTTGTTTTCTACATTTTTATATCGAAATAAAATAGAATGCCTTTAAATTCCCGCATTGGTTTAAAATGAAGAAAAGTAAGATGTTGAACGGATATGTCAAAATAAAAGTTCTCTGCAAACCTTTATTTTGCAATTTATTATCTGCAATAAATGTATCTCTTGGCGTTGATTTTTTTTTTTTTTTTTTTATTAAGAAAAGCTTGATTTGTTTTGCATGAACCAACTTGTTTTGCATGAATCTATCATTTATATTTAAGTTTTCTTGAAATAACATATCCTTACATCTGGACGGTTCAACTGTTTTTTTGTAATGGTCATTGCAAATACCAACTAAACTGTTCATAAAATATTTTATTATTATTATTAATATTATTTGTATGATATTTACTATTCTCGATGAATTAGAATAATTTAGAATAGAAGAAATAGTTTAGGTTTCGTTTTTTTATTTATTTTTTGTTCAGGTTTCAGTTTGTCGCATTCCAGCCAGCGATGACGCGCTTCCTGTGACGCAGAGAGATTTTAAAACATTGTCCTTCTCAGTAATGGCGGCTACGTTCCCTTCGCCTTCGCTAAATAACAATAAATGGTACTTCACGCGCGAACAAATCGAAAACAGCCCATCTCGCCGAGCGGGACTTGATCCCGACAAAGAGCTCTCGTACCGACAGCAAGCTGCTAACCTCCTGCAGGACATGGGACAGCGGCTCAACGTGTATCTTTTTCAGTTTGTGAGGCGTCGTTCTCGGCATCTGCTGACGCCGGTTTGGGCGGCTTGTGTAGCGTTGAGTTTCAACGTTGTAATGACCTGAAACGGGTCTACCAGTAAACACGCCTTTTGTATTGTGAAACGTGTGAATTAAGGCGAATGGAATAAACGATTTATGTCCCAGTTTTGTGTTTTTTGGGTGTTCGTTTAGGCCTCAGGGCCTAGCTTTAGGTGTCTCTCCTACTGAACAATAGCGCAGCCGGTGTCATTGCTTTTCCCACTCTCCGGTTTCCACTATTTTCTTAATTATACAATTTGTTTACACTCCAGTTATAGACGTATATGTTGTTTATGCCATTCCAAAATACGTCTGTTAGTATTGCAATTCAACATATCCTGTCGGGGAGGTTTGCCCTGTTTGATACTGTAACAGGACATATAGAATTGGGGAGAGATTATGAGTTGTCCCGATTTTTTATTTATTGATTTTTTTTAAGGTTAATTATGTGCCTTAAATTAATGGACAGCAGTTAAATTCTGTTTTTCCATTTCCAGAAGTGGGTGCTTCCACTCTCTACATTTGAATATGGTCAAATATTAATGATTGTTGCTCTAATTAAACTACAAGAATTGTATGTGAATGACAAGCCCATACCACTTAGCGGTGGTATCATTCTAAATATCTATAGTGGTTATGAGCCTGTTGAAATACTGAGTTTGATGATTTGAATAGTAATGCTGTTTCGACAATAAGCTGAAGTTGCAGTAGTCTTGTCCCAGTGGCTTCTCGAACAAGAAAAAATGTAGATTGGTCCTTGATTGGATGGTTGTGTTTTGGTATCGCTGTGATATCATGTGACTGACAGGTTGCCCCGCCTTCACGCCTGTTAAAAAATCATCAAAGAAGAGATGTCGCTATAGGGGAAGCTATTTTGATGAAACATTACAAGGGTAGGGTACATGAATTTTCAAAAAAAAAAAAAAAAAATGTGCACAGATAAATAAATTACAAAAAATACAATATTCCATAATGAAATAATAATTTTTAATTTTGATTTCATGGTGACTTTAAATGCTTGTAATGTCATTGCCATCCTTAACTTTGGACGATCAGGTCACAACTTACAATTAACACTGCCATTGTGTATATGCATCGGTTCTACATGATCCAGTCCTTCACCCGCTTCCACCGAAATGTGTGTGCCTTATCCTTCGACAAGCTTTTTGCTAAAGGTTCAATTGAAACAGCTGTCTGGATTGGACAGGAATCTAACCTCTTTGTTAATGTCATGTGTTGCACAGGTGATTGCTCCTGCAGCTCTCTTTTTAGCTGCGAAGGTGGAAGAACAGCCTCGCAAGCTGGAGCATGTGATTAAGGTGACCCATGCGTGTCTCAATCCTCAGGACCCGTCTCCAGACACCAGGAGTGATGTAAGTAATGATAGAATTTGCGTCCGATTTCTTTTAACTGTCTGTGATTCATTGGTTCAATGTACTTTCTTTGTTAAAAATGTAACTTATTAGCGAATAAGTTCTTTTGCAGCAATATTTTGTTAAAGGAATCATTCACCCAAGATGAAAATGTGAAATACTTTAAAAAAATATTTTTTTCCAGAGTCCTTGATGAATGGTGGATTTTCAGTTTTTTTCTTTTTTTTTTCTTTTTTTTTTTTTTACCCATCTTTCCTGTAAAATTAACTGTTTTCCCCCCTAACTATTTAGCTTGACAAAAATTCTTTACCAGCTTTTTAACTCGTATCAGATCAATGATCGTTTTTATTAAATAGGGCTGGGTTAAAAATATAGATTTCTCGATTTTAAGTGATTCTCGTTTTGATTTACTGATGTTCTTCTTAAATCCCAAGAATCGATCTTTTAACAGTTGATGAATGAACAAAACTTTGTAGCGTGCCTGCCTCCCATCCAATAAATCACAATAAGCTTTGTGCTTTGATATGAAACTGAGTCTCAGCTTTCAAATTATGTCAATTTAATGATGAAATTCAAACAATAAATATGTTTTGCCGCTCATGAATGTGGTGTGACAGATCGCTACAGTACAGCTCAGTCCAATAGACCATTTCTTCCACATTACTACTAGTTAAAGCAAATAATCATGAATGAACATCAGAAGGTATGCCTGAAAGATACAGTACAGCTTACCAAAATCCATTTCTTGTCTCATGTAATCGGTTAATCAGTGTTTCAACAGCGGAAATACCTCAGTAAAACAGCTTGTAAACAACGCCATGTAATGCTACATTTACCTCCGAAAAAACATTCAATGTCTATTAATTCATTAGTCTTCTAGAAAAATGTACCCCAGAGCTAATTGTATGCATTATATTGCATATTCATTGTATTTTACTTAACCTTTTCAAAATCTACGGGATATTTGAACCCGTTGTTTTCATGAGTCACCATTTAAATTTTTATATTTCAAAAAATGAGTAGAAACAATTGTCATTAAAAAGTAATTACAACACTATTATTGTGAAAACTTCCTTTTTTGTAATGTAAATATAAGTAGACTGTACAAATTGAAATATAATATTAGTAATATACTAATAATCAGAATTGAATTGCAAGCTTGTGAATCGAAACGAATCGTGAAATTTGTGTCAATACCCAGCCCTAGTATCAAATGTCAAATTTAATGGCAGAACCACTGCATCAGACATAACATTGCTTTTCTTTTGAACAGGTTGTGCGAGCAACACTTTTCTTATTTCTTTATTTTCATTTTGAATCAAAATGATCTCAATTTTTTTTTTCTCTTAGGTTGGATATGTATAATCAACTTTCTTTGGTCTTTATCTGTTGTGTTAGTATTATTAATATGCCTCTCACTGACTGTCATATGTTGATGAATTGAAGGGGCATAGCTTGTATAATAAGGTGCTGATTGGCTTGGTGCAAAAAAAAAAAAAAGGGTCATCTTAATTTGACGAGAGCGAGTAAACGTGTAGTCCATGACCAAGAGAACATGTGAGTAACCTGCCTGTCCTCTCAATCTCAGACATACCTGCAACAAGCCCAAGACCTGGTCATTCTTGAGAGCATTATACTCCAGACCCTGGGTAAGTTTGGAAGGGCAAGAATGGGTCAGTGAATCACCATACTAGAGAGATGTACCAAATAACCACATTTATTCTCATTCACTGCTAATTTCCAGGAGTCAACAGGACTATCACAATCTCTTAATTAAGAGTCATTACTACTCTCACCTTTTTCCATTTCTATTTCCATGTCAGTCTGGCAATGCACCCTTCCTGTGTGTGGTTTACGATGCTATCCATTTTGTATGCTGATCCTATTTTAATCTTGAGTACAGTAGGGATGTCAAAAGTACTGGTACTAAGTAAAAAAACATTCATCTTTTTGCAGTACCAACCTCAATCCTCTTGAATGCTTGAATTTTTCGTAAAAGAATTTGTGCAATAGCGTATTAATTTTATAGCATTTTAAATCAGGAAATTTCACTGGTAATGGTTTCAACTACTGGCATCTGTTTATCGTGATAACCCCTGGTGTAAACCGTCGTCTGTGTCCTGCTTTGCAGTCCGCCGCTTTGGAAAATTCTGTTCTTGTGCCCATAATGGTAATTTGTTTTGAAAACTTTGACTATAACCAAATCGCCCTACAGGCCACTTGCAAGGAGCTTGGCTCAAAGATATCTCACCAGTCAAGCACAGGAAGCCCCATGTTTGATTCACTCACTCATCATGTATATTGTGTGTGGGAGACTTCATCAATGCAGTACAAATGAAAAACTAAAAAGTCTGTCTCTCTCTCATCTCCTCTCTTCCCTTCAGCTTTTGAGATCACCATTGATCATCCTCATACACATGTTGTCAAGTGTACACAGCTTGTGCGAGGTGAGAACCAGCTGCTCACTGTAAACTGTCCTTCGTATTGCTCGGTAATGAGTACTTCTAGCCCACCAAGCTCACAGATTTCACATCTGATCACGAGCTTTCCTTTTGTTCCAGCGAGTAAGGATTTGGCTCAAACCTCATATTTCATGGCAACAAACAGGTATGTTCAGATAGCATTACTTATGTAGATTCAGAAGATACCTTACTTGTGTAGAAGTTTTCTCTGTGTACACTACCAGAACTATGTGAGGTTAAAGTTACATCAATCTTTAATCCAAGTATGATGGTTGAATCTGGAAATAATGTCAACTTGAGTGTTTATTTGAAAGACACATGATTTGTAACATTATATACATGTCACTTGATAAATTTGACGTGTCCTTGATTACAAAACAAGTATTAATTTCTTTAAATAACTTTTGCATGGTAGTTTATGTATTAATGTAGTTCAACAATAGCAGTTAATGGTTTCTAACAAATATTTGTTTCTTCTCCTGTGTTTTTGCTGCAGTCTCCACTTGACTACATTCTGCCTACAGTACAGTCCGCCCATTGTAGCTTGCGTTTGTATTCATTTGGCCTGTAAATGGTCCAACTGGGAGATTCCGGTTTCCACAGACGGCAAACACTGGTGGGAGTATGTCGACCCCACAGTGACCCTTGAGCTGTTGGATGGTATGTAAATGTAGCTGTTGTGTGTCTTTTCAATTGATTTTCTTTTGAAATGGTTGTCTTTTTAATAGAGGGAAAGTTTAATTGAAAATATGTGATTACTTCTCTGTTCAGTGTTTCATTAATTAATGCATTGTGGTTTATTTAGTTCAGTTTACATTTAAAGGCAGTTTTACTAAGATGTTTTGGAAGTAACCATTGGAAGAACCGCAGTGTAACATTGGACAAAATTTGGGGGGTTTTAGCCGGGACAAGAAATTATATAGCCATTTAAAGAATTTCTCAAGTAATGTGTGATTTTGCCCCAAGTTGCCCTAAAGATTTTTGATTCTGATTTCACAGAGCTCACTCATGAGTTCCTGCAGATCTTGGAGAAGACACCCAGCCGCTTAAAACGCATAAGAAACTGGAAAGTAAGTCAGTTTGCCTCCATTTTAATTATATCTAGATAACTGCAAATACTGTGTGCCTACAAAGTACAGAAGTGGTTCAAAATCTTTCATCAAAGTTATACTGTACATTCATTTTGAACAATCCCACTCTTATCTTAGGACAACTTTGGTGAACTTTTTTTATCCACTTGAAATGTTGACTACTGCATTTTGGCCACTTAAAAAAACTGTTGAAATATTACAATTTTATTGCATTAAATATCTACAGTAACCAAGTGGCTGTTTTTTACACACTGCCATTCAGAATTTTGAGGGTTTTCATTGTGGTTTTTTTTTATGTTAATGTGTCTATTCTCACTGAGGCAGCATTTATTTGATCAAACATACAGTAAAAATGGTAATTTGTGAAAAATTACTAAATTTCAAAATTATGTTTTAATATTAATTTATATTTTAAAATGTAATCTATTCCTGTGATGTAAAGGTGTATTTTCAGCACCATTACTCTAGTCTTCAGCGTTACATGATTTGGTGACCGAATGTGGAAACGTTTGTTTTTCGAAGATTCTTTAATGAATAGAAAGTTCAAAAGAACAGCATTTATTTGAAATAGAATTCTTTTGTTATGTTAATTTATGTAAATGTCAAATTCACTGATAAAAAAAAAAAAATCTTACTAACCCCAAACATTTGAATGGTGTGTTCTGACCATCCAAATTGCATCCTCATAATCTTTTTATTTATTTTAATTTTTTTACTTGTGCTTTAGGCTGCAGGTCAAACTGCCAAGAAATCAAAGGTGCAAGATGGTGATCAGTCAGAAGCCATTATGAACATGATCTCCATGGCATCATCTGACACCACGTTGGCGGGACTGATGAGCCTCTCCGCCCCTCCCTCCGGTTCTTCCATAGACTCCTCAGCAGATGATCCCAGCGCTGCAGCCTCATCCCAACACTGGCAGCCTTCCGGCAAGGAGCAGCCCACTGTTAACGAACTCCACGCGCCTGCTAAGGTCTCTCTGAGTGAATATCGGGCCAAGCACGCGGATGAACTGGCGGCGCAGAAGCGGAAGTTGGAGAACATGGAGGCAAGTGTGAAACAGGGATACGCCACTGCCGCACAGGCCCTCATGAACCAGCAGAGGAAAGATAAGCACCATCACCACCAGCAGCCCAGCTCTAGTTCCTCAGACCTGAGCAACCCCTCACCTATCGTCCTGAAGATCCCTCTGGATGAGCGAGAACGCAGTTCCACAAAGACACGCTTCCCCGTGCGGGGCCAATCAGACGGCGGTGGGCACAGCAGCGGGGGGCACAGCAGCAGTAGCAGCAGTCGTGGATCCGAGCAGGACATTAAAGTGCGGATTCGGGTTCCAGAAAGGCGAAGTGGGTCCGGAGAAGACGGGAAAAGTCGCGAGAAGCACAGAGATCGGTCCAACCACCACCACCATCATCACCATCACCACCACCACTCCTCCTCTTCCACCACCGGCTCTTTATCTGCATCGTCTTCCTCATCCTCAGCACAAAAACACTTAAGTTCTGCCAGCACCTCAGGTAGTAGCAAAAAGGTCCCTGGTGACAGCGTGCGAACAAGCTCTTCGTCATCGTCGTCTCGAAAAAGGACCCACTTGCCAGATCCTTCCGCCGGCACCCACCCCTCGAAAGTCATCAAATCGTCCAGAAACTCATTTCAGTTGCCGGCGCTTTCCGGAGTGCCCTCCCACGCGATGGGGCACGGGCCTGACATCCTGAGCCTCTCGCACCATCAGGGAAACTATTCGCACTCCAAGGCGGACAAAGCCGACACGAACGGCCACAATACGGGCGGCCAGTCCAACGAGTATCAGGACACGTTTGACATGTTGAACTCGCTGCTCAGCGCGCAAGGGGTGCAGCCGGCGCAACCTCAGATATTTGACTATCGCTCTCAGTACGGAGAGTACCGGTATAGCAGTAGCGCTCGCGGAGGAACCCAGCCGCCACCTTTACCCTCAGAACCACCCCCACCTCTGCCACCCTTGCCCAAATAAACCCTTTCATCCCCCTCCCCACCATTCGTCCGTCCACACACACTGATCAGATCAGTCGTCTTTGGGAGTCCGGGATTCCTCTAACTTTCTGTGATGTTGAGTTTGACAGCAGAGTAATGTAAGGCAAAAAATGTACCTGTATCGTTTTGTGCGAGCGAGTGTGTTCACAACACCCATCTGTGGCAATAATGTTAAAATAGAACAAAATATTGCAAAAAAAGGCAAAAAATGTTATTTATTGAAAAAAAATTGTACATACTATTTTTGATGTCACTCAGTTTTATATCAGCGCTAACAGAAAAACATAATGGAATTAAGGGTATGTATTACAGAATGAGAGGGACCCGTTGTCCTCTTTAAAAAGTGTAACCTTGAATGCAAAAAGGAAATTGTTTTTGGTTTATGTATGGATTTAAGTCTTGCTAACGATATATGTGTCTTTTTTATTGATTATGGTATTTATTATTAGCCTTTTAAAACCATAGTTATTAGCAGTCGTTGCTTGAATGCATCAGGTGATCTCTGGATTTTATTTTTATACTGTTGTAACCTGCTTCCCAGTCTGTATTTACTTGATTGATACGTCTTGTATGTTTTGAGAATGAACATACGAATCCCCAATATTTGCATCACAATGTATGTTTAGTATCTGAAGTAACATTTTGATTTTGTTTGCTAAGTATTTGTGGTCTTTTTTGTTTGTTTGTAACTTTTAAGCTTTGCATTCTGTAAATGAATGAAAATTGACAAATTATTTTTACAAATTTTTTTTTTTCCCAAAAACAAGGATATGCCTAATTTGGGAAAGTATGTCTGGTAAACCTACAATTCAGAGGCAGATGCAGTCATTGTTTTAAATGGTTGTAGAATATCGTGCTCATTTATAATACACTATACACAACAGTATGTCCAGCTTGTACTTGTTTCATCTTTTACATCTGTTTGTTAATAACTCAAACCCAAGTGGTGTTAGATGCAGGCTATTTGTCATACTATGATGTAACTGACTTCCAGTGAATGAGTAAATATGAATCTGTGATGGACAAAAGTACAATCTGATAAAAACAAATATCTTTCCACTAATTTTCAGTTGAACTAATGTTTTTTTATGCTTCTTTTGTTGAAACAATGATAGTGAAATTCATTCTGTCTACATTTATGAATGAGTCTCATTGAACTGGTGGTACTTTTGTCCATCATAGTTTTCTATCATCATTTACTCAGCCAAAACTATGATTTTCTTCTGTAGAACACAAAAGAAGATATTTTGTCTGTATAAAGTCAATAGGGTCCACTGTTTTACTGTTTTATCCCCAACATTTTTCTATCTCTTTGAATATGTCGTCCATTTTATGGTCTGTTGGGTTTATATTTATATCTGTCTCAGTTTAAACACTCAAATCAGCACTTATAGATTGAATGGCGAGCATGCTGACGGCTCATGTTTATTTGTTGCAATACCTCCATTTTTGTTTAACATTAAGGTGCTTTGACGCCATGTTGTAATTACCGTAATTACGAGATTTCAGCTCAAATTTACAGCTTAGATGGGAATTTTCTGAGAGCTCTTACTTGTACCACGTGACTGCTGTACCAACTTTTGCCATAGACATGCACAATTCCCAGTCCAGCTCTGAATGGAAGGTCACGTGTTTTCATTTCGAGACTACGGTAATTACGTCACGGCGTGAAAGCTGCATTATAACCGCATCAAGGTCATTTTGGTGTTTTCGAGTGATAAGCCATCCAATTCTGATTCATGAAATCTTGCATGAATGATTCAGTGCACATTAAAACTGATGTTTTGAGCCAATTGTTTTGTACCTTTAACAATATTGTCCCCATATTCATATCTTGCTTGATTATGTTTTTGTATGCAGTTAATAGCACAATAATGCAGATTACTATATGGATCAGTCTCTGTAACTTTCCTCCTCTGATTAAATGGCATGACTTTCATTGATCAATTTACAGACAAAAAAAAAATGGAAGCATGAAATTGAGTTTCTACTGTCAGAGTCAATTTTACCTTAATAAATGTTGCGTTCTTTTCTTAAGATGTTAGCAGGGATTCCTCCATACTTTCCTGATTGTGCCTGTTGATCATGAGGAACATTTCAGGAATATTGTGAAATGAAATGTAACACTATAAGCTATAAAAGATCTGTCACAGTTTTGGCATATATTCCTCATATGATGCACTCCTCATGTCCTGTCCCTGTTTTATCATTTCTAAGTAGAAGGTTTAACATGTTTTAGTTTTGTGTTTGCCGGTGTCTAGTCTGCTTCAATAAGACTAAAGAGAAGGCGTTTTGTGGGTCTAATGCAATTCATGTCACCACTGTATTTTCTATGTACCTCCATTTTCAAGAATATAGCGTTTTATCAAATGTATATACTGTTTTCTGTGTTTTAGTGGTACCACATGAACTCTCAGGTTTTGAATTGAATTGTTGGGGTGTTTCTTGTCAGAAGTTAAGGTTTGCATTTTTGTGAACTCGGTTCCTTTTTATAAATGTGGTTGATGTACAATAATGTTTTATGAGAAACATACTTGTGGGTGTTTTTCTTACCGACTGCAGTGTAAATTGTTGTAAAATCATGTGACAGACGTTCTACTCAAAGCTTCTTGCCGTAAATTCACTTTTCCCATTTTTATACGCCAACTTGACCAGTTTTGCTTCCACCTGATGTCAACAACACCTTTATGGTTTGCCTTTGAATTCAGTGCTGGAATAAAGAGATACAAGAATAAACCAGGAATGTTAAATGTGGCATCTGAACCCATTCTGAAAATCTGGGGTTAACCAAGAAGTCACAAGAGCTGTTGTAATCCTGATTAACTTCTCATTCCAGGCATTGTTGTCTAGCCGTAATGTGTAACTTATTGTTTTATTGACGCCTTGTCGAACATAATCTGTGGCATAATTCAGATGATATATTTCACCCCAAGATCAAAAGAAACATTTTACATTTATATTATAATAAGACTTTTTAGTTGGTGCATATTTTGTCAATTAAAGGGATAGTTCACTTTGAAATTAATTTTTATATGACCGCAGACCGAAGCACCCATGCCTTCAGATCAGTTGAACATGGCTGTGGTTACACGAGGTAAAAACGATATAAACACTGTTCGTTTTCTCACACAAACCGCTCGTTTTGTGTCTTAGGCTATCAATGTGTACATTTATGAGTCATTAAATCATGTTTAATTTGGACTTCTCTGCATGCTCTTCAAGGTGGACCCCCTAAACCTCCATTATATGACTGACAAACAACAATGGTTTGACTGAAAAATATCAAAATTGAAAATATTGTGGAAACAAAGACCTACATCTTGGATGCCCTTGAGGTAAGCTAAAACACATCAAAAATTAATTTCAAAGTGAACTATCCCTTTGTGCATTTTCCCCATTCTTATTAGTGCAATGCAAAAAAAAAAAAATGTGATCGCCTAAATTTCACTGAAATATAGTGCTAAATTGAACCCGTTAACCTCTGTGCATGTAGATGATTCTTGTGGACTTCACAGTGAATGAGTGCCCAGACCTGAACAGACTCTATTGTTCTTGGAGTCAGCCATCCTTGATCTCGCATGACTCTGAAACTGTACCAGCCGCCTACAGCAGGTTTGACACAATTTCCCCTTTAGCATTGTTTCTCATGCATGCACATCTCAAAATCAACACTTCCAACCTTATCTTACCAAAACTCATTCTATTGCATTTGTATGTTAAAATGTTTTTAAAAAATTCAGATGTTGCAAAAAACCGTAAGATGCTTATGGCCACTGACCCAATTAAGAAAGAACGGCTTTAAAAGCGTCAGATTTCCAGCCACATGCACTGCTCCACTGATATCACATGTAAGCATTCTCCAGCTTCGTTCCTCATTACAAGAAGCTCAGCTTGGTAAAGAGCTTGTAATCTCAATGTGACTCTTAAAAAAAAAATCCTCAATATGTCAAATAAAATATTTTATATTCTAAAAAAAAAGTTTGTTCAGTGGTTGTTTGCAGCGCTTACAAGTTCATTGCTTTATGTTCAAAGTAGAACATTTATTTGTTTTAAGTGCACATGCACTACTGATCAGCATGATTCATAAATGAGTTTAATCAATTAGTGCAAGTAATATTTAATGGTATTGTAATCTGATAACTCTTGCACAGCATCGCACATTTGTCTGTGTCGTATCAGCATCCCCGACAGCTAAGCAGAGCTGAGGACAAGAAACTCAAAGCCCAAGATGATTACACTTTTTATTCAAAGTGTGATTATTATGTAATAATTTAATGGTGAAGTTTTATTTGCCTAAACACTTTTGTTTATTATAAAAAGTAACTAAAAAGTGGCTTTGATTTTTATTGTTTAAGATTTGAGCGAAAGCAAACCACAGAGTCTTCTGGCTAAATTGTAAGCATTTGTAATGCTCATAATTTAGGCCAGACTTGAATTACTTAACCTAACCTGAGAATAAATAATAAGGCTAAAGGTTAAAGCCTACACACAGCGAAACTTAAGTTATGGGAGGGGCTATTCAGCCACAGTCACAGATGTGTGTCTATATAAAGAGCGATGCTTCTGAAGCCGAAAGTCATTAAGGTGCCAACAACAAAGTGACACAATGAAGCTACTTTCAAGAATACTGATAGTGACCTGTTTGTCTGTTGCTTTAACAAGTAAGTAAAGATTATTTCAATAGTATTTATATTTTTTGTGTGTTTTATTAATTGGATGCAGCATTCTTTATATCGTACTTGGAATTGTGTTTACCAGTTTTATATTTAGTGGAGAGGTGTTTAACTGCATTGAAAAGAACAATCAGGAAAGTCGAAATAATATTGTTAACTTAATAGTTGCTGGAGGGTATTCTTTTGTCTTTGCTGGACAGTTAAACCTTCCCCACTACAATTCCTAAACCTTACGGGTAGATTAATCTGCATGGCAATGTCCTAATCTCCTTGACCCCTTTATATTCATTAAAAGTACGTCTTGAAATTTCCCAAGATTAGCTTATCAGATCAAATAGGAAATAATGTTTCCTATGAGTCAAAAATACAAAATGTCCCAGAAGCATTAATGTAAAAAGTCTTTTATACCTATAATGTAATGGTTTTGATTGGCACAGCACCAGCTGTTTGGTTTCAATCATTCACAATTCTAGTATTGCATTTAGATTTTTGAGTTACGCTATTATCAGAGAGCAAATGTCCTTTATGCAGTAAAACCAAAAGTGTGGTCACATGTACAGCTGACCATCACATGCACAGGATTTGGGGTCCCACTGCGGAGACTGTGCTACATATTTTATCTGGTCACATGCCCCGACTCTTATTCTCTCAACCAATTGTAGACTTTACAGTTTGTAAGTCAGTCAGTCATTTACAGTTTAAGATCTTTCAAAGGCTTTTTCTCTCAAAACATTTTCAGTTTCCACCAAATAATCTCATTGCAGTTTCCCAACTTTTCATTTCTGCATAAGGAAAAGTTGACAGAAGAAGCAACTCGAAAACCAGATTCAATCAATATCAGACATGGAATTCAAAACAGTTCCCAGTGTGGAAAGATGGAGACCCACTCAACAAAAACAGCTGGACAGGTAATACAATTCAGTCAAGAAATATATTTTCTACATAATTAAATCACACTTAAATCAACATGTTAAAAAAATGGTTTCATTAGTGTTCTGTAGCTCAAGTTGTAGAGCATGTTGCTAGCAAAGTCATGGGTTTGATTTGCATGAATTGATAATGAATGCAATGCATACTTTTTTTCAACCCAGAAAATTGGGTTCTTCTTTTTGACCCACATTTTGGGTTAAATACCTGACCCAAATGTTAGGTTTAAGAAACCCAACATATTAGTTAACTATAACCCAACTTCTGGGTCAAACAACCCTGGAATTGGTTCAAAAGATTAGCCCTATAACCCAGAAAAGGGTTACTCTCTAAAAATTTTTTGACCCAACACAAATAACCCAGAAAATGGGTTGAAGAAATAACCTAGGAGTTTTTAGTGTGCAGTATTATCAACAGCTATTGCGTTTCTCAGCAGATTTGGCATTCTAATTCCCGCTGAATCAGACTAAAATTCGCTAATTATGTTGTACATTAATCAATTAATGATATCTGCAATACATGTTGGTTCTGTTTACCCTAAGGGGGTTATTGCTGCTTTCCCTGCTGTTATGCTAGACGGCATGGATGCGCAGGGAGTTCTTGCCCAGAACAGAACCATTCCGCCAATCCAAACTGTATGCTAACTGTCAATCGTGTTTGACAAAATAAAGGTTCTTTATTGGCATCTTTGGTTCCATGAAGAGTAGTTCACTTTTGAAAAAACTTTTGCTGATAATTTACTCACCCCCATGTCATCCAAGATGTCCATGTCTTTCTTTCTTCAGTCGAAAAGAAATTAAGGTTTTTGATGAAAACATTCCAGCATTTTTCTCCATATAATGGACTTCAATGGGAACCAAATGGTTCAAGGTCCAAAAGACAGTTTCAGTGCAAACTGCAAACTGTTCAAAGGGCTTTAAACGATTCCAGACGATGAAGGGTCTTATCAAGTGAAACGATCGCTCAATTAAAAAAATAAATAACAAAGTTTAAGTTTTATAAGCTCAAATGCTCGCCTGAGAAGTGAACTACTCCTTTAACATCCATGGAACCTTTCCATTCCACAAAAGGTTCTTTAATAGTGCAAATCAGTTCTTTAGTTTATTAAAATAGCAACTCTTCACACTAAAATTGTTCTTCTATGGCATCTCTGTAATCCCCCCCTTTGTCAAATGCATGAATGTACATTTCTACAGGTGGACAATTGAAGTTTGAAGTGGGAAATGATGCACCCACCTTGACCGGTGCCAAAATCACCTTCACCATTGACATTGTGTTCCCTCACAACCAGAAGGTCCAACCAGATGGACAAGTTGTTTGGGCAAAAAACGGCACTATCAACGGTATATTTCTATGATCTTTATCTCCTAATTACAAAGATGAAAATGTATTCTGTACCGCCAGTACTATGATCAACAAAGGTTTAGTTGTATTATTAATAATGCACAAATATGTCAAATTTCTAATTTAGGCACACAGTTCCATGAAGGAGAGCCTGTCTATCCTGAGGAGAACTCTGTGGATGCATGGAACGCTATGTTCCCCAATGCTCCTCTCCTTTCCAAACAGGGGGACAAGCAACCTCCCTATGTGTTTGTATGGAAAACCTGCGGTAAGGAATGAAGCACTTACTTTACTGTAATGTGCAGTTATCTCACTTACCAGACAATCCGCTATTGTGTTTGACAGGTAAATACTGGCAAGTGTGCGATGGCCCTTCCTCGTCGCTGACCATCGGCACTGATGATGTTCGTCTTGGCTCTTATATGATGGATGTTGTCATCTATCACTACAGGCAAAAAGATAAATTCATCCCTATTGGATATGCATCCACACAGTTTAGTGTTACAGGTAGGCAGAATGTTGATCTTTTGTTTAGTTTGGTTTTCAGATGTAACGAAACTATTTTATCCCTGTGTTTCCAGACCAGATT